AGAGTTGCTTGAAGTCAGTTTTACCTTCATTAACTTGAGACTGAGTGCTTCTTTCTAATAAAATTTTTCTTAACAATTCAGTTTTTCCCTAATTTTGGTGTATGGTGTACATATATCATCATACCTTCCTTCATGAAAGGATATGCAGTAAGCAATGTTATGGAGTTTTAAGACGTAAAGATCAAAGATTTTGCAAATGCTTAAGTAAATTCTACCAACTTTTTTATCAATTTTTTTGGATATATCTTCTTGAAAAAGATAAAAAATAAGGAAAAAAAATTCGTGTACTTTCATCTCGTGAGTGCATCATTTCCATTGCTTCAATTAATGCTTTTTATTTGTTACATTCAGATTGAGGGAGTAGAGGCGATACATGAATTTCATGTTTGGCGATTGGTGGGTGAGAGAATTATTGCTACGGTGCATATCAAATTTTCTGATCTAAGAGCATATTTGGCTGCTGCTGATAAAATACGTACATTATTTCACAATAATTGCATCCACAGTACTACTATACAACCGGAATTTTCAGAAGTATAGTTTCTAATCGCAGTTTTTATAGATTAGTACAAAACTTACTAATTTTATATGAGGCTAAATGGTTCAGTTTGGTTTGTTGTGATTTATAGCAGCAAGTGTACAGAGATTCAGTTTACTCCACACTGATTTCAAAAATTTTTTTTATTTAGATGGCGAATGCTCTAGGAAATAATGGAACACATTGTGCATTGGCATGTCCACCCGAAAATTGCAGAAGAAATAATGTAACTTGCTGTAAGAATATAACGGAAAGCAGTTCATCTTCTAATTTGGATTCGGTAGCATGTTTGTAAAACTTAGAGTTCTGCATGCTATTAAATCAAAATTCGTATTTTTCTTCGTGTTGATTCTTTAGAATCATAATGTTGATTGATTAGTTCGTAATTTTGTTTGTTTACATTTCCAGATATTCTGTTTCTGAGAATTGAGCTAGTGGATACATTTAAAAAAATAATACTTTGGTATATTTTTGTATCATACGTTCACGAAATTAATTTTTAATAGTGGAAACTATTCAGACCATGTTTGAAATGAGTGTAAAATTATTTTGCTTAGAAAGTAATTTGTTTTATTTTTAGTACAGAATAATTTCTATTTATGGCCTGAAAAGCATATTATGTTAATTAGTGGTGAGTAATTCTTGCCCTTGTTGTACTAATTCCTAAATCTTAGCCTATAATTTAAATATTTGAGCTTGTTTTATTTAGTTTTTCATGTTTATGCGGGTTTCAATATGATTTGTTTTATTTATTTTAAGAAATTTTTGTATAGATAAGCTGTTTACTACAATCAGTATTGGAATTTGCGAATTAGATAATTTTTCTTGCTTAATGTAAGATTTTTGGTGTTTAGTTCAGACATTCTGTCAACGTTTTTCATGCTTTATGTTAATAAAGTTTGGTAGTGTTCTTAGAGATTCAGTGCTTGAAATAGTAGCGTGAGTGAGCCATTGCTAGTAGAGTAATGCGTTAAGCACTATTAGCAAAACATAAGAAATATGTCTTGAACTCGATTAGTGATATTTTGGTTATATTTACATGTGAATGATCCCTTATTTTTGTTTGAGATATCCACTGCTATTTTGGCAAGTTCTGGATGTTCAAGGCTGACTTTTGTTTTAGACTTTTTTCTCATTATTTAGCATTGTTTCCTCGTGAATTCTATACCTTTTGTGCATTGTTCACATAGAAAATTGCATTTTATTTACAAATCATATTTGATTTTGTATTTATTCTACTTATTATAAGAGAAATAAAATTTAAGTATCATCCTAGGAGGTTGAAATATTTCTACAAATTTACCGCAGCGCTGAATATTAATGATGTGCTGTGTATTTGAAAGATGCAGTTTTTATATGATTTGTCGACATGGTGCAGTGAATATATTGTGTGGGATGATATGCTCTTTTCAGTAAGTAGAATCTTTACTACGCGTAAAAATGTATTATGATGAAGGACACTAATTCAGATGTAATATGGTTCTGCAAAGTCCATTATTGAAGCATTTATTTTTATTAATATTTACAGATAAAATATTATTCAGTCTTAACTAGTCAGTAATAATTGATAGCCATTTCGTGCAAACACTTGAATTTCATTTCCTATGTAAATCCTATTTTACTTTTTTAGTATCAATAATATAGGTGCCGAGCATCAGATTTCTCAAAAGTAATTACCTATCAACGTTTCACCATCAGCTTTTGGTAAATCAATCATATAATGCAATAGCACACCGTTTGAAACCACATATATGTCAATATTCGATGGTGAACAACTCATTGCTACCTGTTTGTCAAGAACGAAGTCTACAGAATCAATCATATAAATATTATCATCTGTTATACCGTAAGTAGGAGTATAAGTCACCTGTAATATTTCATTAAGAAGTGATGTATCACACAGGAAATAAAGGACTGTGAATGGTTTAAATATTTTTTTTCTGAAGTCATATTTAAAAAGTAGTACATTGATTATCTTCAAAATTCATCACAAATTGATTGAGTTATTTTTAAAATATTTTTTCATTTAAATTGACATTTTGAAATGAATTTCAGCTAAAAAATTTTTCTAAACAGAGTTTTCTGAACGAAGTTTTTTGTAAACTTAAATAAATTTCAATGCGACAGGATAAGTTGATGAACAACTTTTAGAACTTGGACTTTATATTTTTTATGTATTTTAAATAAACTGAAGAATATAAATATCACTAACCTGCAACTGCCATTTCATATTTGTATGCACGTTGCTAAACTGAATTATGGCTTGATAAATTGGATTAGCACAAAATTTAATGTGAGAAAAGCTTTCGAATTTCATAAACCTGCAATTTTTGAATTTATAACTTGAAATCAATACTTGTAAAAATGTCTTAATGAATAGATAGATATGGCAAAGATATTCATTTACCCTGCTTCATAACATTCTTGTAAAAAGTAGCGATGTTCCGATGCCCGAAGATATTCACAAATGTGAAATTTGTATCCATCTTGTGCTGAAAATTAACAAAATTTTTGGCATTGAATTATATAACATCTTAAAAGTTAATATTGATTATAAATGAAATTATTCAATACTAAAACAAGTAAAATTATGAAGGTATTTGAAATATAATAAAATTCATGGGCACTTTCATTTCAATGAATTTAAGAGAAGCATAACAGTCTTTAATAAAATCATGTACCAAGTTCAATCAATTCATCAGAATTATCCATTCCAAAGAAGTATGCTACAGGCTTCAAGAATGCATTACTTTCGTCTTCTGATATTTTCATCGCACTATAAAAAATATTTTTGACATAGATTTTCTGATCTACAGCTTCAGCGAAGCTTAAAATTAATACTTACACTTATTCAAAAATTCTGGGGCAGTTTCGTTCAGCCGTTTTATATTTAAAAAATTATGCTACTAAACTTTTCAAAGCTAAACAGGAGACTTACACGGCATTTTTGGTATCAAGTACGCTGCATCCTCCAATTGTACTTTGTAAAATTACAACCGTCTCATCATTCGATAAAGTTTGCCAGCTATCAGTCATAAGCATATTTTCTTCATAAAAATGATCAAAAAAAGCTTTAGAATCTGAAATTTCTTTATTTATTTTCTTGGTCGCAGAGAAATGCAACCATTAATTACTTTACTATTTCGCAGCGTAAAAAAGTAAAGGAGATTGAAATTTGACAATAAAATTTTTCTTGATGCAATAAAGTAAAAAAATTCAATCCATTCCTTAAAATAATTTCAATTCAGAAAATTGAAATGAAATCATCTGAAGTAATTTTGATATTATTTAAATATTACTTCATCTTCAGGACTGAACTACTGGTGCACTGATTTGAAGTTATGAGAAATTATAATTAATAATTCTTACTTTGTCGAAAACAGTGTGTACCTTTGACAGCTAAAGAATCACTATTTTCTGTAATAACGCAACAATAAACAAATGATGATAACTGTTGACAATTTTGCATTTCTCTATCGATTTTGATATTTTTAGAGCTGAAAGATCAATTTGATTACAGATGCAGTTACTCCAATCATAATCATACTTATTAAATAAGGCAGCAATGTTTTGTAATTCATGATTAATAAAGACTGAATTCACAACTCTCAGTAATCTTCCTCATTGAAAATTGAACTTGCAATTCATATCTTCCTCAACCAAAAAGTGCCTACTTTTTACAAGTTTATTTCAGTAACAATCAGAACGAAAAAAACGAACAACAATCAATATTTACTTATTTATCAAAACCGATAATGCAGTTATACAATCAAAAAAAAGTCATCACCACACAGGAACTTACATGAATCCATTTTGATAGTCATCAAGAGATAACTGTTCTAATAAAAGTTCACTATTGTTTTTGTCCAGCGATGAAAGAATAAGCAAATTGTTGTCGTTATCAATGCTTAGCATTGGGCTGAAAAACTTTCTTGATTATAAGCTGATGAGTGTAATTCAATAAATAAAATTTGCAATACCGCTGCAATTTGAAACTGGCTAAAGTCCGCTTCCGGAAGTCATTTAAGGGCACGAATTTGCCCGAAATCGGTGTTTTTTTGTGAAACTTAATTACACAAGTCGTGACAAGTGCCACAATAATGACAGTTGTTGCGATGCAAGCAAAAATAATTTGCCAGAGCCCGAAATATTTCAGTCGGTACTTGATCCTATCTGAAAAAATTAGCACATGATTAAAATTAAAGACAGTTTAATGAAAGTGAATACATGATCAAAAAGATACTACTTGTCAAGTAGTAAGTGTGGTATTTCAAGAGTAAGAGTATCATTACATAAATGAAAAAATCAATCAAATAACATTCATTAATAGTCCTTGTATTCAAGCAGTTTTAATCCATAAAAAAGCTTCATCTAATAAACAATTTTTCATTAATTCATTTCCATTCCAGAAAAACTCACTGCCAAGCAGTAACAAAAAATAAATCAAGTTTGATAAAACAAATTTAACAGGGGTTGCCGTCTGTGAGATACGACAAGCAAATGATTCCAAAAACAGGCAGTAAGCTTTGTGTTATGCACTTTACTGAAGTTCAATGAGACCTTCAAAACGTTTCTAATAATATTTTGTAGCTAACATTTGGATACTTCTGTAAATGAAAAATACAATAGCTTTCGCATTTAACAATGCGCTCAGATTTTAGTAAATTTCAAAGCATAACACAAAATTTTCATTTTCTGTCAAGTGTTTCAAATCTAATTTCAATAAAAAATGATGAATTTGTGTTTTATGAGATTAATTATAGCTTCACAAAGGTATTGAGAGTTGTGATTAGAAATGAATTTGAATCAGACGTGTATGTTTCGGAGGAATCGTATTTTTAATCCCTTTATTTGCGTATGTTTGCTGTGGTTTGAAGTCGAAGTACAGACTCGAAGTGCTGCAACTTTATTTCATAAATTTTAAATTTTCAAAAACATTTCAAAAAGAATGAAAAGTAGTCATTTAGTTATTTTTAGCTTTCAAGAAATTTAAAATACTATTCGAAATGATTAGTTATGATTGTTCTTAAACTATATTATTTTCAGGAACTGGTAAAAACTAAAAATAACGTTTAGAAAATTTGTTTTCTCCTAAAACATAAAAGCGTTTCGAAATATTTGGCTCCGATACCAAAAATGAGTTAAAAAATATCTTAGAGTTTTTATTTCAAAAAGTAACTAGCTAAATTTCGAAGGATACTTAATTAGTGACGCTGCAGTCTCCTTATCACTTGTGTTTGATCTAATTAATGGCTTTCGCTTGCTACTGTCAACCTTTTCAATAATCATTGTGTTATTTTTGCAAAGATCTTGTAGAATGGTTTGTCGTAAACCCTGAAATACAAGTAAAATTTCAAAATACTACTAATGAAAACTACAAATCATTTTAAATTTTAGACTCCTTAAATATGAAAAAATGATAAAATATGGAAGATGTACATCTTGATTAACAGGAATTGACAGGAATTGATTAATTTATGATTAATATTATTTATGGTTTTTAGATTTTGAATAATCTACATGAAATCTCTATTTTCATGAAACTAAATGTTGATGAAAAGATTAACAAGCGAGTTTTTTTTTCTTTTCTTAAATAATTTGGTGAGATAGACTTAACCAGCAGAATAATTAAACTTATATGCTAACAAATTATGTCGGTTTGATACCAGAGTTTAAGAAAATTATATGAGTACGACAATAGATTCCGATTCTTTGTTGCGATGATTAGATTTCCATATTTAAGTAAGTGAAAAACCTTTCTGCTTGAAATCGCATAAATGTTTTGTATTTTAGACTAGGTCACAGATTTCTATAATTGACAATTGTCGAAGTATACAAGCACTAAAATTTTCCCTTGAAGGAGTCAAATTATAGTCGAAAAAAGACCCATTGCTTTTTTGGAAATAAAAATTTTCCAGAAATTTTTTATTTTGTTTTTACTTGAAATATGAATGTAAATCCGTTTCCTTTACAGGAAGATAAAAATATGCAAAGACTAATGGAAAAATCGAGTCCATACAAATGATGTTTGCTAAGAATTTTACTGATAAGCCCCATTTTTCGGTTTTCTCTCTTTTTCTTAAATTTTTAATGATATTTCATTTCTTGGCGTCGTATCGCTTTATAATGATCTCTTTTCAGCAATCTAAAGCAGTCAATAAAATTTGTGAACATGCTTGAAGTATACTGCAAATAATGGAAGCGAGCTACCAACACTGTCAAAGTTTTGAAGAAATAAATGTCATTCATTAGAAAAAATGCAAATTAAAAACTGATACTTGCTGTAGCGAAAATGAATGACCCTTAGCTTATTTTTTATGGAGATTATACAAAAAATTAGCTACCCATTTTGAATACTTTGAAAAAAAAAATTTGTTGAGAAATACCATTTTCTGTACAGTTTTAATGTAATGATATATTTCGATGCCATTTTTGACTATACGCGATTGTTCCAGAATATTAATAATTTTTTGATTTTTTAAAATTTCAGTATTGGAAAAGTCTAAGCAAATTAGGAGAAAAATATACCCTCTAATCGATAACCTTCATATATATCGGTATTCCAAATCTTTTTTTGATACTTTTTGTTTTTTTATTGTTCAGAGTAAGAAAGTGTGTACACACACGCTTATGAGAGCTGTAACCGTAATTTGTTTCTTCTTCTTTACAAAAATCAAGATGTACACTTCTTTTGTTTTGACGTAGATATGCAGTATTTTCGGAAGAAAACGTACTGAATTTACGCAACTAGTTTGATTAATATTATATGATGGAATTCGCCGCAATGCAATTCAATTTCATGATACTCACTTCATTTAAATTTCCAGGAAATTTCTTGTGTGCATTAAAATGCATTTCTGGATGTGTGTTTGTGAATATGTAATTTTCTTGCAAAACATAAAAAAGCATGTTTACTGTAGTCCTCGAATTCAGCTATAAGACCATATTTGAGATACAGCTTTTTGAAAAAATGTCAACCTTAAATGCTCCTTTTGTGTCTGTGATGATTTTATTTCTAGTACTTTGGACATAAGAAACTTTTCAGAATAATGAGTAGTTATGACAATAACTGTTCACACTTAGTTTCCTACTTTTTTGGCCACGTACTATAATCATTTGTTCAAATATGAAATTAACATATGTAGTAAGAAGCATAGCATAGAATTTATTCTGATATTGTGAGCTATATTTATATTTTAAAGTGAAGACAACAATCAGTGCAGTCACTGTTAATAGCTGAGAGTTGCATATCAATTGCTGTAATCAACTATTTGCATTTATAGCTTGTATGGACACAATTCTTTGGCAGAATCATTTGCTGCTTAAAGTTAGCTGCCATCTTTGCGATCTAAGCACTTCCAAGATCTCATTTATCTGTTATCCACTTCTGAAAAGAAACTGGAGAAAAAATTGAACTGCTGAAATATGAAACAAGGACAAGTCGGAAATATTTTTTCTGATATCGAAGTGCGAACCGAAAGCACAAAGGCTGGAAGAACATCTCTATTACCATGTTATGAATCTTCTAGCTTTGTTCCGTCTAAAATGCTCGAATACTTCTATCCTTTCGAACCTCTCCATGTTGTTTGATCTAAAAGTGTACTCGACAGTTCTCAACTCTAATCCTCTTATGAAATTTTCATTTCTCACTTGGTCAAGTCTTTGAACATATAATGATGAATCCATGTTGAGAAAAAGTATTCCGATCAATCCAAGATGTTAGTTTTAGGTTATCTCTACTGTGATATGAGGAATATATCGCACCACTGCAAATTGAATTCCAAGTGGCAGACCTGAGATATGAAAAACAAAATTCAAGTGAAGTCTTGTATGACCTAAATCACTGCATATAAAACTGATACTTACGGGGAATCTACAAATGAGCGCTTCTATTACGCTTCTGTTCCTTTGCTTGATATTTTTTTCCGCATGGATAAACAGTGTAACCTGGCGATGTAGCAGATGGACTTATGTGCATTACTTCAACAAATATTTTCATCAAATCTCATTATTATGATAGTGACAGCGAATTCTAATACCCCTGCTTAATAAGTATTCACAGTAGGAGTCAATTAAAAAATACTTTTCGACTGTTTGTATCATTATGCGATGACTAACCTCTCGAATAAGCGCCTACATTTTTTGAGATCTTATAATTTAATTTATGTTTCTATAGCTAATTCTGCTCAAGTAGCTCCGAGGTAATAACTTGGTTTTACTGTAATCAACATTTTACAGTAAAGTTGTTGTACATTCGAAAATGATTTTAATTAATACACACGGGAAGAGCCATGTATAAAAAATTATAACACTCTATCACCTGACATTTCAACTACTCAGCCAATCTTTTTATTCCACATGAAAACAATAGAAATGTTATAAATTATCGCTGAATTCCACAGGAATATATTGTGGAAGTTCTATGCCAGTCCTGCTACTCTCTTTATTCACTGGCATATCCTTCACAATCATTTGCATTATCCGACCAAGTACATGTTGATTAAACTGACTTTTTTCCACATCTCTGCCTGTTGTTTGAGTGGACTCGAATCTGTCTTTTGCCGAATCATATCGGTCATACAAATTTATAGGTCCTTCTACGTAACAGAGATTACAGCGTTTATTTATTATTCCCTAAAAATTTTAAATTTTTTGAAGGAAACTGCAGTTTTTATCGGAGAGACGATTTGTAATCAAGAGTCGTAAAAGTCCACAAAAACTTATGGTACTATCAAATACAAACCAGTCTCAAACAAATAAAACAATTTTCGTTAACGAGTTACCTCGATATCGACGTTAAACAATAAGGTGTTGAGCTGAGCAATAGCAAAAAAAAACTGTTTCCCATCAGATAATACTAACTGCGAAACAAATGGATATTCAACATCATTATATTGCGTGAAACCTGAAAACAATTGTATCATTCAGCTGTATTTTGCAACCAATAAAGTTTTGACTTTCACCATTCAAGCCATATTAAGATTGACTGTTAAAGAGCATTTAAGAAGCAATAAAAAGTGCACCTTCAGCATGAGCTTGTGCATTTAACCAAGAAAAAAGAGATACAACAGCAGAAGCCCGAAGACAGTCATAGCGAATGGCTTTCTCTTCTACATCTTTTGCCTTCCACCTTTTGCAATGAATATTCAAATCACTAATTTGCTTGAATCCTACTTGACCATATTTATACTTTTCGCCTAAATATGCTTTTAAAATCAATATTTATAATTGATGACACGGAAGTTCAGTTCAATGGCGAAGCCCCAAAACTTATTTTCCAAATATGCTTTCTCTAAATTCCTAGTAAGAATCACACATTGATCGTTGTCCAGGAACAAATTAAGCACTCATGAATCACAACAAAAAACAACAAAAATGGGAAACAGAACAAACTACAAAGTTTTACCACAGTCAGGTTCATATCCAGGGCACTGCCACAATGGATCTGAGTCAGTGACCATCCCGTACAAAGCGGGAGAATAAATTAATTCATCCTTCACATTGAATGACATATCAAACAATGGCTTTGTTACTTCTTCATTTGAAAACGGCATTAGCTAAAACAACGAACAAAAGCTATCAAATAATAAACTATGGGAGGTATAAAATGATACAAAAAATCAGTTCTAATCAAATTTAAAATAGAAAAAAATAAGATTTTTTAATAATGTGATAGTGTTTGTTCCGTATTCTTTCAATTTCGGAATCATGTAAAATGAATGTTGATCAGAAATACTTGTGACGTTCTTAAATTAGAAATACCGTATGTGCATCTGTTACTTACAGGTTTTAGTGGATATTGAGTTCGCAGCTGTGTCGAAAAGTCATCTCTCAAGACAAACGCAAGTTCGCCAAGCTTGGACCTAAATATTGTCGAATCATACATTTGTGTAACATATCCAATATGACAGTTCACGAAAGTCAGCTGTTCGTTCAGATTACGTTTTTCTTGAAAATATTTTTAAAATATCAAAAATGCATGAAAAAACCATCTGAACATTTTGCAAATCGGTAATTTACCTGTTATCACCTCTATGTCTTTGTCTTAGCTTGTTTTCATAGAGAGCTTCAAATCCACAACGAATCCAAAATGATTCACATCGTGGCGCATGGGAGATCTTAAATGGGGACTGATGTTTAAATTTTGATGGGCTCATCAAACAAAAATAATAGAAGAACATTACAAAAGTAATACATGAATTCATCAATACAAATTAAATCCTAAAAGTATGTAAATATTGATTAAACACATAAAAAAGTAAATGATATGAAGATATTCTTTTGCAAAAGTGAATCCAATCCTACTATAACATTATACCATTTTTTTACTGCCTTAGACAAATAACTATGAAAAACAAAAAATTCATCAACTATCAATAAAAACTGAAGCAATCACATTCAAGAATGCATTACTAAGATATAGCTTCCCATTACTAAATCCTATATCTTGATTTTTTCTACCTGTCATGTGAAAATCAACAAACCCTTTGATTCCCCAAATTCGGATACATCCCACTTTGAACGATATTTTCAAGTGATAAATCCAAAATGCTTCTTAAAAATCTTGTAGTTCGCTCATGCTCACTAGCAACGTTCAAAGATCCCAAATGCAATTTCAACATCTCCCCTAATCGTTCCTGAAAATTACCGAAATGACCAAAAAATGTACTGCAAACAACGATCTACACAAATCCATATAAATGGTGAAAAAGAGATACACCTCAAAACTCTTCGACACCATTGGAGCAGGCTCATCATACCAATCACTTAATCCTTCGATGCATCTTGTTTTTGTTATGTATTGATAAAAGTTGAGTGGGTCAAAATAATTTGGAAACGGATGTATTTTCCAGGCCTTTCGCGCTTTAAGCAATGCAGCTTGCCAAGGCCTGAAGTAAAACAGACACATAAATGTGATAAATGCAATAAACAAGCGCAACTTTATACCGGTTGCTGCTTCACGAAATTAAAAACATAACGTACCTCTACGTAACGAACACATTAGAACTTTTTTTATAAAAACAAAAGTTCAAGGGTTGTTGCAAACTCCATTTACCTAATTGCCCTTATGTGTTTAACAAACAAGTATTCCATAAGTTTTAAGCAGAAAATGGAAATCTTTTACCGATGAAAACGTTTTTCACGTCTCGTAAAATCACGCTCGTAAGGATTGATAAAATCGATTCGTTCTGTGGCAGTAGGAAGACTGCGAACAAGTTCACTCATCACCTGATAGTCATATAAACGAGGTCCCATACCACTCGAGTTTCCGAGATTCTATCAAGACAATGTAATTTAAATGATGATATTATTAAAGCTCAAAGGTGATAAACAATAAAAAATGGTAATAAATAGACAAATCAAATCAGGACTACTTCTGATAGTAAATACTGCTCCACTTATGCATTATCATCAACTGAAAATAGAAACTGCTCCTAAAAATTTGGAAAATTTTCAATGGCAATGCATTATCACGTAAAAGCATCACCATAACCTCATAACCACTACCTCATCATAACCTTTTCTTCTTAAGCGTATGATATGCTTCTCACGACACACTCTGCTCAATACAAAATTACCGGGAAATGAGTGAAAGGCTCAGTTTTCTTACGATCTGATGGATTGAACGGATGATAGTAAGGAGAACGCAATGTTTTTGGCGGAACATGATATGTCACATCTTTTTTTTTTGTTGACTCCCACCGTTTTGACCAGATAATCGACGAACGAACACCTCGTTGGTGCATCATCACCAGATCAATCCTTTGTTCAATGAAGTTAATGAGACCAAATAAACTTAAGCTAAACTTGTATACGTTGCAGAATTATTTACCATCAGTCATGAAAAATGTCCTTATAACTCTGTGAGCTTCATTCCTTAACTTTCTCAAAGAACTGAAAAATCCTCAACACAAAATAAATTTAGTTCCTTTCTACCAGGAGCGCGGATCAAATGCTAAGTTTAAATATAGAAAACAGTAAGCTAGAAATGTATCATAAACAGAAAACAAGCACAAAAATAGTTGAGCATTAACATTTTATGACCAAAAATTAAGTACACAATACAAATTGAAATATTTGAGTAGACATTTTTGCTTCCAGAAACGAATAATAAACTTGAGTGCAAATATATATTACGCGAAAAACTCTTACATCTTGTTTTAGAATTACGAAACTTGATGCATATGGAAGTATTACCCTAAATAATAGAGAGGATGACTTTATGGTTAATTGAAATACGGATGGTTCACGTAACAGAAAAATGAATTTGAGTTACCAAACAAATACTAAGCTACACATGATGTACAACTTTCTATCAACTACGTTATGAAAACAATATTGAATTGGCTAATTATGAACAAGTCTTTGAGGCACATAACACAGAAGAATAATGAATTCGCACACATTATCTACCAATAAGAAATAATGGAACATAGAAAGATGCATTACTCAAGTACCGAGCACTAAAATAAATATAATTAAGATGTTATTGGAAAAACTTAGTCATTACATGAAACATAGTATTGAATGACATACAGCAATTCATAATTATTGCATATAAAACAGAGAGAGCATGAATCACAAAGTATAAAAATATAATGAATACAACATTTAGTTTCATGTACTATCCTGAAAAATAATTTAATTAGTTATGAGACAACGCAGTATCAGCGAAACCCCGTTCTAGTTGTCGTGGTTCTGACGGGATATCTGTTGGCTGCTGTACAATTAAAGTTAACGGTGTTTCGACAAGTTCCTGTGGATCGACTCGCGCTTCCTCCAGTGTGTCCTGTCAAAATTAAGTATGCACGAAATAATTTAGAAGCTAATAAAAAGATCTATTAATTATTAAAAAGAAAAAACTTAAATTGAATAAAGTGCTTTTACGGACCATAAAATGCTAGTAAAATGCATTCCAAATAAAAATACGATAATTATAGTAAGATTATTTGTAAGAAATGCTAGCTTTTGAAAACAAGGGAAAGAAACTATTTTTAACATGAGAAGATTATTTGCATTATCTGGATATGTTTCATACTGAATCATTGAGCAGTCTCTCTTTCATATAGATCAATTGATCGTTCGGTAGTTGACCCGTTTTTTGATAGATTTTGATTTTCAATTCATGAATTGTGTTCAGAGAGGTCATCTGAAAACTATTAATTTACTTCGCTCAAAAAATTCATATGAGCATTAGCAAACAGACAAAACTGAATAATAATAAATAAATAATGAAAAATAATAAGCAGTAATGAAGAGCAGATAACAGTACATAATAAATAAAAGATGATAAATAATAGTCAGTGTAAGCAACAATAAACGATAAGTAATAATAATAAACTAAAACGCTGTAAGAAATCAACTAACTGGATTGTAAGATTTTATTTGCTAACACAAAATATGAATTGATCCCAATAATATATCATCATGCGACAGAAAAATGTAAGGATGAAGCAGAATAAATTTCATTCCTGAAGATCATTTATAAACCTACTTTAAAAACCATTGAACACTTCGCCACTGCACGCCTTGTCGTTGCATGTCGTTCTGCACGCACGAAAGATGGTGTAGCATTGAATGGCGATATCAAATCACCATTTGCCGTTTTTATCGGTTCATCACTTTTGTCACTCTTCTGATAAAAAATCTTTTTCATAGAAGCACTATCATCGATATGTTACTCATTTACTGCTTACAATCTCAAATTCAAAACCTCCGTAAACGAATCAGGAATAATGAAGTGAGAATAAAAAAGTTAACAGATATTAATAGGATTTTTTACCATAAAACTGCAAAACTTAAAGTCGTTTTGGCTGCTGATGGAAAATATAAAGTAGCCACAGTCATGCGACGAAAAAATTTTGCCTTTAAACGGAATAAATTTCATCATTAAAGATTATTTGCATGCTACAAAATGTTATGAAAGCGAAAGTAAAAGCAATAAACTACTAACTAGTTTAACATAAATTTCAGCACCATTTTCGTATACAAAACGTTGATGTTCAACTTGCAACTGCTGCTGACGAAAACATTCATCACAAAACATTTCGCAGACTCCTTAAACAATATTTATATAAACACAAAAATTCAATTTGTAGCAAATAACGAGTTTTAAACACTGAAAAATATCTAAAGAGTGACTTTTAAAGCTTTGTTTTGGAAACGTTACCGATTCACTTTTCGTAACAACACAAATTCGTTATATCAAACAACTTGATATACTGTGGAAATTGTGGCGCTATTTGGAACCTCATATTGTGGTCATCATTAAATATGATGGATCAAAGATAAAAATATTTCAAGAAATTACTTATTCCCAATTTTTATCAATGAAAATGAAAAAAACTGACCTTTACTGTCGAGAATAATGTGCATAACTTCATCTTCACTAATTTGCATGGCCACGAGGATTTTCTGCCACTCTTCCAAAGTGACTGGTACAGCCTGAAAATGAAACACTTTTTCGTCATGCAAACACAACAGTTATTGAAACAATGTTTTGATTAGATAACTAATTACACTTTCAATCTCACTTCGAGCTTTTTGACAACAAGAAAATCTAACCATGCACAAAGTCCAGGTCAATAAAAATTTTGGTCATTCCATTCTGATTACCAGCTCAATAAATGGTCAATAAATTACAAAAAAACAAAGGTAGACTTTGTACTGTTGAAAAACCTCAGTTTTTTACACTTCGACCTGCTTTTGCCACTGCTTCCCTTTAATCCTTTTTAGTTTTTCTTGGCAAATAGAACATACCAAGCCTTCAGTGTTATCAATAAGGACACATGGCTTCTTGTGCATTGAACAAAGCATGCAATCCTGACATATTGTTGGAATAATTGGATTTCGAACGCGGCTTCTTAATAATACCAAGCTATTAAACATTATTTTTGAAAAATTTTCGAACATCGAAAAATACAAGCAAATGTTTATTCTTTCCATATAGCTAGGTAGACGTTGCTTGAAATTTTATAATTCATTATTATTTATTTTAGCAGTTGGGGGAAAACTGCCTTAATTTTTATTTTACTGCACAAATGAAGAACTGCAAATAAAAAGAATCCAAAATCTACATTCATTATACAGTTGTTGCCTATTACAATTAATAAAAGGCGAAGTCATGCTATTCAGAACGCAGATTTTAATTTGAGTTCACTAATGTTTGGTAAACATATCCCAATAGATAAAATGCTGGAAGATTCGACTGTTGAACCAGCAGATACTTTAAATATTATCCTCAGTTTATAAGTTGCTCAGAACAAATAGTTCCTATTTAAGAGTAAAATTCTTACTTAAAACATGAGATCATATTTTTTAGAAAATTCCTACAAATTACACGTTCGTAAATTTGTGGCATCGATGATTTTACTATCATCGTTCTTCGTACAGCGGCACGAATCAATTCACCGACAGCCAAACGTATTTCTTTCATACGTCGCAACGTTTCTTCCCAATCATCTTTTTTGTACTGCAGTAGGAATATAAAAGCTCATATCTTATCCCACTTTAAAAAATTCCACAAGTCTTGATCCAAACAATGAGTAACAAAAACAAAGTGAAGTACTTCCTCTAATTTCACAGAATTAATTCAGTTTTTAAACCTTTTAAATTTTAGATATTTTTTTATTTCTTATGATTTCTTAAAATTATTCAAAACAGCAAGGACCCCCTATAAAATCTTTAAAAATTCTGTTGCTAAACTCAAATCACATCCAAAACTATTTTCTATCAATTTTATGTAATGATCAATTTTCCACTACGCTTAATAATATATTTTGTCACAAAGGCCTTAATTATAATTTTTCTGCACCATGACAAATCAGCTGATATAGATCAAAATTAAAGATGAGCACTTACTAAATAACCGGATTTACAGATAGAACAAGGAAATTCATCAACGCTAATGCACCAAAAATGTTCTGGTTCGAAAATACCAGTTATTAACTGTTCCCACTCATTACCATCAACAACAATTCGCCGTTCATTTGTCATCCAACATTCGTAATCCAAAAGTCCTCAAAACGTATTATAATGATAACACAAAATTTCATTGATCAGATAAAAATAATTGTTTAACAAACTTCTCCATTTTCTTTTATATCTTTGTAATAATAGCACAATAAAACCAAAATAATTTGAATATATCATTGTAGCTAGCCTTAGAAGGAAAAAAACAATCACAATCACAGATAATTTTTGAAAATTAAGTTAAGCCAGTCCCTTTTCTATCTTATATATATATATATATATATATAATGCAGATAACTGTTCATTATTCCTAGCCAATATCAAAAAATTATGATGCATTACTGAGAATAGGAAAAAAAGAACCGTGTTTGCATCGTAAATCTCCATTGAAAATGACCAGTTTTTTTTCTTCGTCTTCATCATCACTTTCTTTACAATTCATATTTCTTTGTGGCGTGCCTGGATCCCGAATTTCACTCTCTGATGATGAATGAGTGTTGTAATCCGCAATAGAAGTTCCATGTGTTCTTTCTTCTCTAATATCCAATTTGGGTTGCTCATGCTTACCAGAAACTAAATGCTGGAGCAAAAAACATCTTCTACAAATAATATGAGAATATATAATTGTAAACAAGTACATACCAATATTTATAGTAAATTACTACTTTTTTTGTCTGAATCCCTATTTCTTAGATCAATGTCCGCAAAATCCTTACATATATCTGCGGCACTTAAAAGTGCAAATCAAAAATAGGTTTTGAGAACTTGATCTGTTTTAAAAATTTTATTTAATCTCATATATTTTTTAGTATTTCGCGCTGAAAAAGATATAAATAAACGAACATACATCACTAGAAGTCATAGTTGTCTGACTTGATCTACCAAACATTCTGTCAACATGTTTACTTTGCTCGATAAAGGTAGAAACTACATCCGGTACTTCCATGATATCTGGTGGCGACTCCGAAGATGATCTTATATGCCGAGTAGCTGCACATTTATGGTCATCATATGCTGGAAATAGACTAGGAACAATGAGTAAATAATTTAAGCAGAACAGCAAACAGTGTGCTCGGTGCATATTAAAATTAAACTTTGGTTTTAAGAATCATTTACATTAATTTAATTCGGAAAAAACAACTATTGAATTGCGAAAAATATAGGTGGATTCAGAATTTCATAACACAGAAGCATTAAAAATAAGTAGGAAACTGAAATTGTTCAAATCCTACATTTTAGCTTTTTGGACAAACTTAAACCATTCACTTTAGAAAATGAGGCACCATCACATCCTTTAGCCAAGTTATTAACCTGAAACTTCGCCTGACATGTGAAATCCATAACATTTTACGTATGAATCAATTCATTTACAGAAGAAAACTTGATAAAAGACAAACAAGTGTATTAGAGAAATAGTACGCGCACACGAGGATATTTTAGCAGTTATATTTAATACACTGGTCGCCTTCACAACTTTTATAAGAGCTATGACCAATTACTCAAAACGACAAATTCTTACTATATTGAAAAATTATTTCACCTCATCTCGGCTGTATGGATCTTTTCTCTTACGCGAACTCCACGTGTCATTCATGAAATTATTTTGTACTGACATATCAGTAACTCTTGATGAATGTCTCTAAAAAAATTAAAAATTGAATGTACTATAGAAAAATTCATTTCAGTACAACACGGTATAAATTTCAAAAACAGTCTTTTGATTGAAGTTGATGGAACAGTTAAAATTTTAAATTTTTAAAGGAATAAAATTACCAAAGACTCTAAACTTTCTAAAGAACTAAAATCGCAATATTCACTAAAAGTGATAAATTGAATTAAAAAGACGACCATGTTGCAAGTGCTATCAGTTATAATTTTCGCAACATCACAATTGTTGGAGAAAGTAATAGGACCGAAATCCTGAAACAATCTTCAGATTTTAAAAGCAGATTTATTCAATACTAATGATTAAAAAAAATATTCCCTATATGAATGATCTATCGTCAAAAGACAAAGAATGCAGGTAAACAAATAATGATAAGGAAATCAAAAAATACTACATCAGGTAAACCAAATTCATCAACAGGCTTTCCAGATTCATTCTCGAGTGAGAGGCTATCAGAGATTACTGATGTTGAGGGAGCACAATCTGCTACAGATTCGCACTGAAATTCGCTCATATGAATTTTCAAAGTAAAAATCAGTACAAATTAATAATTATTACCTTGTTAGATTTTTTACGAGACCAGAAATAATTTATTTCCGAAATCGTATCGTTACACTTCACAGACTGTTCATGAGCACGTAAAGCTAGCTGTCTGTACTGCGATAAACAACGTACCGATACCCAAAAACAATTTTCCGAGTGATAAAACCTACAAGTTTTATTATTTTTAAATTAATAGACATCAATATGATACAATCTGGATATAATAAAGAAAATTTAGTCTGACACAAACTGCGCAAAACAATCTTTCTAAATTCTTAATAACAGGTTTTTTCTCTTACTAAATTATGAATTTCCTTGATTCCCTTTTTAATAAAATAAATGTCAGTAATTACACACCCACTGGACCACAACAATTGATATCAAAGAACATCAATCAGCTCAAAAAATTACCTTTTAGATTTCTCACGCAGTAACTGCTTTGCAAGCTTTTCTTTCAACTGAACTTTTTTTGTGAAGTCATTTCTTGCTTTTAACGCTCTTACACAATCCAAGCAAATATCTGACCTTTAAATAATTTTAGGCTTTAGTTTCAAGTAATTCTATAAATGTTAATGAGAGTCCTGCTAAAAATATAATGAAAGAATAAATAATAAAAAATAACGAAACCTAATAATACTCCGTTTAATAAGAATTTCTATTATAAATTATATCTTAATTCTCTACAAATATCAAAATACAAACCCTGTTTTCAGATGGACAAAGTCAACATCATATGTTTTTAGAAAATCAATTGTCGGACTTTTCATTACTGCTTTCACTCCACCACTTCGAACACTTTCCAGAGACACACGATTATGAGCACAAAGACAGAACGACGATTTGAATACATCCTGATAGCAAAATTTTATTTAACAAAGGCTCAAGAAACAGCCAAAAAGTAACTTTGCCATATAATTTTACTTAGAAATCTTACAAATGCAAATAAGGCAATATGCATTTACCACTATATTTTAAGTATATATTACTCAAACCTCCTTTTCTAGGTTCAATGATTTGATGACATCCGCACTTCTAGTACCAATCAAAAAATTTTTGAAAGCCTAAAGCACTGCTTCACATAACTGCAGCAAAACATCAGAAAAAAAAAACATTTCAACAAAATTAGCAAGTCAACTATGATTTCGATACTTTAAAATTAAATGATGACAATGATTAGAATTACTGGAAAAAAAAGTGCAATTCATTTCAAGTCGTCCATAAAGATGAAAAGCAGGTAAAAAGCCTTTTTTAACATAACCAATAACTTTTTCTAAATCAATATGTTTAAAACCTTAGCAAAAAACATGAAATTATGTTTCCCACTAATGGCCGAGCAAATCTAAACTTAACCAACATCGTCATTACTGTTGATCATTCTGTTGAATTCATGCGATAATATTGTACTGAGTAATGTAGTAGGAAGAAATACAATGTCCTCCGGCTTTACAAGCATTTCTTCATCTTTCCTTACCTATAATTTGTATCCACAATCCCAACATTTGTAATAATTTCCAAATCATTTCCGTAAATTTTCATTCTTCTTAAATCACTATTATTGTTTGCAATAAATACGAGCAATAATGTCCATTTCTTAAGAATTAAAATTTTCTAATGACAATAGCTGTAAGTTCTTCAAAATACAAATTCCGTTACTAAAAACAATGAATAATTTTGAAACTGATTTGCTTGCTCAAGTATGTTACTTGTAGTTTATCGAATGCTTTAGAAAGACGTTCATGATATTCCTCGACAGTATTTCTAAGCTTGAAGGTTATTTCTGTGGTTGCACTTGTTTGGGCGACAAATTCTTCTTCCAACTACAAATGCAAATTACAAAAACAGAAACACACTTTTATATGAAAACAGACTCTCATACAAAATTAGAAAAACTTAATATTTCACACTAAACATTGGTATTTGAAACTTAACAAGAACGGATTTCATTCACTTTATACCTTATCTGCGATGTCACCTAATAAATCCACAGGAACATGAGGAATGGACGAATTTTCTTCGTTTTCTCGACGATAAACCAAAGCATAACAACCTTTCATATCAGCAGTAACTTTTGATATCCGTTCTTTCTCTACAGATACACCAGGAGTAGCAGATGGCTTTACGACCTGAAAAATTTTGTAGTAAACGCAAAAAATTACCTCCTGCTAACAACAATAAATTATATGCAGAAATGATGATCACATGACTGATATATTTTACTGAGAAAATTTCTAAAGCCTCAAATTTAATCAACCATTTTATTAATGTTTCGTAAACCAAATAAACTGTTTTGTTTACATATTATTTTATTTTTACAAAAAACAAATACTTCATCATTATAGGTAAACCATTGTCCTGTTCCTGGATGCTTAATAAGATCGTAATAATGACCACAATCAGCATTTGGACCTTCATGTATCATCACAGCACAAATTTCATATTTAACTTCACCTAACTGTAGAACTCTTGGATATTGTAGCGGTGAATGAATTTTCTTTTTTCGACCCGCACTAAAATTTTGCAATACTGAACATCCTTAGTGCTAAGAAAAACAAATATGTTGGAAAAAATCACTGGAAATAAAAAATTTTACACATCATATGTAAATCTATTGAGCTGAATGGTTAATACAGGTGGTGGTTCTTTAATAGCTAGACAATTCTGAGTAGATCCAGTCTCTTCACATTCGCTGCACTTAAAGTCAGGAAGTCTGAAATCATTTATTTATATTAAAAATAAACTTCTTCGAGCTTTTAACTTTCCTTTAAGAGATAGATGAAATTAGTTTACTATACATAAATTTAAGAAATAACAAGACTGAACTGCACAAAATATTGTAATTATACAAATGTAGGTGAAAAAAAGACAGTATAACAATTCTTCCAACCAAATCATAGTTCAGACACACATAAAACACATCTTTAAAAACCACATAAGCCAATGTAGTTAAAAACAATATTTTACAAGACGTTTTCAACGTCGGTTGTTAAAACGATGAATAAATCGAGAATAAATTTACTCCTCTGGAAGGAAATAATATTCCAATGCTTTGGATAACGATCTCGCTTTATCAATGCTTAGATAGAATGGATTAAATGGTAATTCTGTAACACTACGCCGCCCACATTTGCAAGAAATTGTTTGTGTTATAGTTCCCTGCAATAATATCATCATCTCATAATTAACTGAAAAATCCACAGAAAAGTGTGACTAACTTTTTCATCGTGAATGATTGGTTTATAAAGTTAAAAAAAACTAGATGACTTACTTGAAACCTCTTCATGATCATTTCACGCACACCGTTCCACTCATTATGGTAACTGAGTAATTTATCTAGTTTTCCAAAAAAAAGTATTTGAAATTCTAGTGCATCATGCTGATTGCCATCTAGCTGCAATAGCTTAACCAATCCTTCAGCATTAGTATCTTCCTAAAAAGCGGTAAACAAAATCTGAGAAAGACTTCCCTCCAAAAAGTAAGATGCAAAATGAAGTGAAAATCTATGCACATATTTTCAATATATAAAACATATATACAAAGCTAAAGAAGTGTTAGAAATAAGAACACATGCGACTTCTGGGTTCAATCGACGTATTTCTGGAATATAACTGTTGCACTTATTAATCTTTATATCTGACATTGACTTACATAAGGTGTAATCTGTAAGGTGATAAATAATTTTTGTATGCAGTGCATTAAATCTTCAATATTTATTTTTTCTCCTTGTGGTTTGACAAAACCGGCGACAGGTCGCCAATCATAGATGCACTTTCGGAAAACAGGATCATTGAAAAATATCTATAAATAGAAAATTCAAAATAACTCACTTGTACAGTCTTAATAAATTTTCTCAATCTTTTTTCAGTCTTGATATACATGAAACCAACAACTTCCTACCTGTAAAAAGCTATTTACATAGCAAGAATTTCCTAGATTCACCAAACCACATGGCATTTTCATAATATCACGTCGATCCAATTCTGTATTTGTTTTATTTTCATTTTTGATACAACCCAATAATTTGTCCCATTTCTCTAAGCCCAAACGACCTAGACAATATGGATTGTCTCGACAATTTTTAGTTCTGTAATTATTTAAGAAATAGACAGGCATACAAAAAAATTAGATCAGAACAAATAATTATCAAGCCGGAAACTTTTTATGAATAAAAATCATAAGCAATTATCTTGAGGGTGAGCAGCATTATAATAATGAGTCAATATTTACAAGGATTAATGTTTCCACATTTCAAACCCCTAGCATATTTTATTTTGCGCACGAGTAATTAATTAATGGCAGAAATTTTGACAAGGGAATGAACAAAAAACAAGACGGCTAAAACACAATTAATGAATGATACGTAGTAAATCCATGGCAGCTTGAAACTGCTGAATTTATGATTTAGTATATAACACAAACAATGATAATGACTGAAACTGAGTTTTAAAATTGCCTTTTTTTCTGGATGTTGAATTAAAGAAAATCTAACTTAGGATTAGGAACGTAATGAAGAAAGCATGCAGATTTGTTTAGCTTATAAACATCCCAAGCAGTACTGAAATTGATTTCATCTGGTATTTCGTCTATAACTGGGGGCTGAAATAAGTAGTAAATTTTTTAATTTATAAAAGGAATGAATGATCTAACAAAATATTACAGATATGTTTAACCTTGCATGTAATGAGCTGTTCTTCAGGTTTTTTTTTTTGAGCAATTATGCAAACTAAAAACAACAAAAAGGTCATGGAAATTAAACGATACTCTAAAAAGTTATGACTGATATGGAAACTAACATTTCGTCGACTGGCTCCTGTATTTCGACGCTTCTGCGCATAATACATACTTTGCTGGAATCGAATCCACGTTCTCCCAGGAAAAGGTTAGCAAAGCTAGGCCATGTCTGAATTCAAAAAACAATTTCAAGCTACATATCTCATTCACGTGCGTTCAAAGAAAAATATATTATAAAAATAGTAAAATTCGTATTATACTCACGTTCTGAAAGTGACGCACTATTTAACTGTATGCGACAAAAGAATTTCTTAGGGGCCTACTACCTAAATAAGGCTGGTTTAATTTGAAAACCACTCGACGGTTATACGTTCTGCAATTATAGTCTCTGAATCTCCCTAATTTCATCTGAAAAATCAAATAGAGCAAATGAAAATTTACTGCTAGTTTTTCAATGAAAATTTTCGCTGCTTCACAAACTGAACGTTCTAGGAAGATTACCGCTATGCAAATTTTTTGTCCTCTCTGTTTCAAAAACTAGATTTCACACGATTCGGCTGTAGTTAATTCTCTCTTACTGTTTCTTGTATGCACTTATTGGAGTGTGAATCGCTTTAGTGTCGAGCTTTCATACTAAGTTGCAGTTTTGATTAAGACGGTCGTATCAGTAAATGGTGAGAGACCGAAGTCGGAGCAGAGGTAAGAATGTTTGGCAGTTTCCAATAATATTTGTCTTTTAACATCATATTGCTGTATGTGTATTCCAGGATCGTGTATTTTTTCGCTGAAATTTGTAAATTATTGCAAGGTATTTTTTTTTATGAAGTGTTCTGAAGCTTTTTTCTTCTTTAACTGGAAATACGTTTTGTAGAACGAGATAGAAGGCGTAGATCGCGATCACGGTCTTTTGGACGTACTCGCATTAGTGAAAAAGATCGTACACGTCGTCGAAGTCAAGTAAGGAATTCTACATTTTCATGGCATAACATACTTACAAAATATGGATAACTGCTGTTTGATGTGGCGCTCCTTTTTTCGTTTGATAGAATAAATCCTTTGAAACCCTGAACTATGGTCGTTAATTGAACAACAAATAATTAAAATCAATATATTACAGTTTTTTCTATTTCTGAATAATAACTGGTAGCAGTAATAGTCATAATTGTGCTGTATGTTCAGTAATTTCTACTCCCACTGTCTCTCATTTTATAGTTACTTTAATACTTGATTTGTAGTTTGTTTTTTGTTTCATTTGTTGGTGAGTTTAATGAACTGAAATTCAGGAGCGTCGTCGTTCAAGAAGTCCTTTTGATCGTCGACGAAGTCGTAGCAGAAGTCGAGAACGTTTAGAAGAAAGACGGCGACATGAAACTGACGATAGGCCACGGAAGTATGAGTGATGATTTTAATAAAGAGTTATACTTTCTTGTATTTTCATGATAGTATTATATAAGAAACGACCAATATATAAGATCATCTTTAAAATTTGCAGTTTAAAATTTGGCTTGGATGCTAGTTAATTGGAATAATACTTAAAGAATTATTTATAGAGATGAAATGTTTTAAAAATTGTATCTTAAAGAAAGATTTTTTTTTGGAAATGTTGCTTAAAAGTACTTTATTTTTAAGGGATCGGGAAAAAGATAAGCAAGCAAAAAATGGTAAGTGTTACACAATATGAAATTTTTGTTATAATTCGGAATGTCACAATATCATTACTCAACTTGACTTATATGCGTACATGAGTAATTATGATGCAAAATGCATCGTAGTTTAGTCGTGAAGTGGAAATGTATTTAGCAAATGCTATATATGAATGTTTTCATTAATTAAACGAAATTTTTTTTCATTTAATTTTAGTTTGTGTTGATTCACTTAAAGGACTTGACAAAGATATGCTAAAAATGATGGGTTTTGCGACTTTTGATACTACCAAGAATAAAAGGGTATGCCAAATTTCTTTTTTGTTTTCGTTGTAATCAACTGTTTTTGCGCATTGCTCTAGAAAATATTTTAATATGATAATCTGTTATTTAGTCTTGTATTGAATATGCAGGTTGCGGGTAATAGTGATGGTGCAGTGTCCATTAACAAACCTCGTCGATACAGGCAATACATGAATCGGAAAGGTGGTTTTAACCGACCACTAGATTATGTTGCATAATGCTGGCATTTTTTGCAGGAAATAAACTTTTGTGTCTACAACGAACAAATGTTATATTTTGATTAATTGCAAGCTTAATGTCGAATTTTAAAGTAGCGAGTTTAACATATAATCTCAAAAAAAGATATGTTGACATGGTAAAGATATTTTAAGTATTTCCTTATTCAGAAAGCAACAAAAAAATCTATTCGGAAATAGAATATGTGAAAGCAGTTGGTAGGAATAACTTGTGTTGTCCTTTTCAGTATCGTTTCCTTATTAGTTTTTCTGTATTTTTTGCTGCAAATATTTGTTTGTATTTCATAATGAATCGCTAGGATAAGTTTTCGTGTCCCATAAATCTTTACCTCTTTAAAACGCTGTTTTTGTTGAAATGGAGTTGCGAATCTAGGGCAGCAAGTGTTGTTTAAGCCGTGTAAATTATTCAAATGCTTTTGATGTACAGTTCATACGAATGCGAATGCTTCCTATTATTTACTTTTTTATGTAAAGAAACAGTATATGACTCTACTCAGTTATTCAGGAATAAGTCCAACGTGTGCGGTTGATTATTTTTAATCTGTGTTTTTGTCTGACCTTCTTTGCGATGAATACAGTGTGGGAAATTTTTTTATCTTTATTTGAGATTAGTTAAATGATTTTGTCAAAATATTTGATGGAGCAAATAAAGAACTACGAAGTTTTAAATGTTATGATACATGAAGTGCTTTTAGCAATTCATTTCTAAATACGGTTGTGACTGAGTCAAGATGCCTGTGGAAGAAAAAGGACAATGCTCGGGAAGAACTTGAGGTGATCTCTGGTTAAGTTCATCTTGGTATTTTTCTGTCAAATCAGGAAGGAATTTTTTCGGATCATCTAATGAGGGGTCTTTCATGTTGGTCTGGACTGGCTGTGAATATCCATATAGTCGTTTTTTTGGTATCTGTAGCTAATATTGCAGTCTTGGCAGAACTGTAGTTTAAATGATCATCGGCTAGTCGTTGAAATATAATAACATGCAGTAGGCTTTAAATTTCATCGTTTGCTCAGGTTGAACGTTGGTTCTTAACTCGATTTTTAATATCTGATAGTTACCAGTCGCTGTGTGAAGAATTCGATTCTTTGCAATCAGGTATTAATGAAAGTCAGACATCAACTCATAGATGCAATACTTCCACATTCATAAAGTATCCAACAAGCATGAATACGTCACAAACGTTAAAAGTATGCATTCATTTTAGTTCTTCATTTTCGAGATTGTACATGATTTTTTGCTCAGCTGATAATTATTGGTAAAAAACAGATATTGATAACTTGTAGGTGAATGCGCAACCTGTTAGGCGTCAGGATGGCAAAGTTTACATTGCTTGTGAGGGTCCTAACTTATTAACCGTTTACGACTTTTGGACTCTAGTATGGCAGGTAAATGATACTAATGATACGATGCTTTTAGGCAGAACATTTTAACAGGTAGACTCATTAATAGCTATGTGTTGTAGTTGTTTGTTCGTTAATTATTGATGGTAACGATTATTATTAATTACTACTGAGCAAATAAATAATATTTCGTGATATTTATTGCTGAAGAAAAACAAAGTGTGAAGAAGCATTTTGATTCTGCTTGTTATTCTCTACTGTAATTTGAAATCCCTCAACATTTTCTTTTACGCTATCATTATAAATGGTAGTGTATATCGAATGCATCTAATACTTCTCTTTAGTGCGGTTTGATTTACGTACGCAGAAATGATTGCTGAACTGTTTAATCTCTCATCGAATGTGCGCCATTTCACTACTCAGATATTAATTAGCAATTAATTCCTTGTGAAAAAACTGCATTAGAATGTATATTTGTATGAACAGCTTTTGATGCAGTATCTGCGACGTTTCATATTGAAGTTAAATCTATCGATACATTTAGGAAAGGATCAAGACAATAATATCTCTGAACTTTCCTTATGAGGAACGTCTCCATCCGCAACTGTACACTGAATGTCAGGAAACGATACAGTATTGGCCGGTTGTCCAAGATGAGATCTACCATTTTATGCCTTTCAAAATAACTTGTATAAGCACATCATTGATGGTATATATAACTTCTTGTAATCATAACTATCTCAATTTTGAATGGAAAAAGACACCAAACAATTTGTTAGAATAAAATGTAGATGAAATCTGCATTCCAGTGGCAGTCCTTAATCTGGTACAGACTCCTTCAGGATAGAGTTTTTTGAAGTTTAACCAGCAATATCGAAATTTCATATTTTTTACATTAATGCCAAAACAGTGATTGTGCATTAAAAATAGGCTAATTCTGAAAATCCGGCGAGCAATGATGAGGACTGTATTTACCGACAGACTCAACTACGAATTAGAAACTGCAATCCATTATATCCTGAGAAGGATAGAATCCTTACGCACTTTTGCTATTTACGATGGCCTGATGGACGTTTACCACTGAAATGCGGAAAACAAACCACTTTAGCCGAAGCAGCTGATTTATTATTGCAAATATTACACAAGGTTAATAATAACTTAGGATTGGAAGATATCAAAGTGCTTCTTTATGAAAAGTGATTGGTATAATCAGTAAGAATTGAGTGCATCTGACACAGAACAAAATCAGAGCGTCTGATCGAACGGAAAATTTAATTCACTAATTTATTATCTTGTTATATTTAATTTATTAACCTGTAATTTAACCCATAAATTCAATTCAACGACATAAATCAATAAGTTACAGGTTACCGATCAGAAAGTTTTAGTACACTGTCATGCAGGTATCGGTCGTACAGGTGTGTTAGTAGCAATGGATTTCGCCATGCATGAACTAAAAAAATCTCAGTTTGTAAATATTCAGGTACGAACTAAACAAAAAAGGTCATGAAACCCTCATAGGAAGTTCAGAAAAAAATTTATTAGCTCCAATTTCAAACTATGAATGTAACTTCAATAATGTACAAGAAAGTCATGAATAATTTTGAATATGCTAATGTGACAAAAGCCATTTTAGAATGCTTTATCTTATTTAAAAGAAGTTAAATTTGAGGGGAGAGAATGACTGTACTTGATTATCTAGCATAAAATACTTTCCAGTGCCATTATTAAAATAGGAATTTTTCAGACTCTAATCCAAAAAATTCGACAGCAGAGACCACGTTTAGTCATGAATCGTTGGCAATATGCTTTTATAAATGCTGTTGTAGCTGAACAAGTTGGTGTTTACGTTACGGCACTCGCTCTATCATTATTACTAACAATATTGATACTATCTATGAATCTCAAGTTTCGCAGTACTTCTAATTTATATCTTTTATTTTAACCAATTTCATAGTTATATAAAACTTAAAGAATGAGCTTATTTTCTTTACGCTTATTCCTCATATTACGTATTTTTACGGTAAGAAAAGCAATAACATGACAAAAACAATTGTTTTCTTTTACTTTTTATTTATAACGACCTAAGAATTGCCTCAAGCTTACATTGTTAACAGTAACACCGATAACAAGGCGAAAAAATTAATACCTTTTAGGCTTATAATTTGGGATATTTAAAAGACAGAATCGGCGGGCATATCACGCGGCAGTTAATTAACAAACTTTGGATAAACCTTGAAAATGATATGAATCGTTACTTTTGATATCTAAGGTACACAGCTGACAAGGACAATGATTCTGATCAGATAGAGTCGTAATCAAAAATATGGAGTCCATAATCATAGTACTCACGAAGCATCTGTTTAAAATACTATTATCATTATCAGTTTCAATAAAACTTCATTAATATAAGTCCATATTTATAACAGCGGTGAAACACTTATTAGTACTGCTACTTGAAAGAGGTACGTATGCAATAGGCAAGGTGACTGAATTTTGATTAATTACGATAATGTTTTTGATTTTATAGGGCCCGATTGCAGTAGTGCATTCTCATGAGTGATGGTCAGTTGGGAAAACAATAAAATAGGATGAAGTATACGTTCTACGAAATCAAAAATACATATTAAATTTCGCTGTGTATATTAAACAATTTATTTTCTCGAAACAACTTGTTCTCACATGCAGTTGGATGAGAGTAAGCATTGTAGCCGATAGTTTTCAAAATTATTGAATCCCGTGACACATTAATTAAAGTAAAGCTGAGTACGTCAAAGTATACAATCAAAGATCTGCTCAATGCCATAACTGAATGCTACCAGCTACTGTGAGTAGGAACAAAATAGCTTGGCGTTTCTTAAACGTAGTATTTATCAAACATTTTACCATAAATACTGTTTGTGTAAAAACCAAAATGTTTTCGTAAATTTTGCATTTACTGAAAACAGCAAAAACTCAGTACACTTATTCAGAACGTGAGATAGGTAGTAGTAGTTTGCATGCAAATTTCTGCAAATTCAGTGAATTTTCGCCGAAACTTTTAGATGAGGAGATTTTTTAAAGATAGCAAATTCCACTCACCACACCAACAAGCTGAATGCTATAGCCCTGTAAAGAATCAAATAAACGCATGGTTTCAGGACAGTTAACGGGGGTTCAACTAAAAATAAAACAGACAAATTCAGTAGTTCTTAATTTGATTACGGAGAAAACGCTTTCCAAAACAGATAAAGGGTGGATCCCAATGGTATATAGATTAAGAATCAAATAACCGACTCATATGAACTCGGATTACATGCTGTGGCTTTGGGACAATAACGCTGCTTATGACGTAGTAAATTAGTCTTTTAATCTGCGTGAAATTCGATACGTCGTCGAAATTTTAATAGACAGTAAGAAAGTTTTTGTGATTTGCTTGTCTTCCAGCAGACGTTACTCAATCCTTCTACTCACCACACCAACAAGTCAAATATAACCTCCTTCATAACATGACACCGAACTGAAACAATCCTTAAAAAACAATTAGCAGTTAAACTTGGGCACAGGGTCATCATCCTAAGTCAAATTAACCTTCCGTATGCACCGTTGCATTGTGCCCTTACGCTAAAATTTTATTCCCACTCATTTTTATATCTATAAAATGTTTAATATTATATAACAGAGCAGCTAAAGGAAATTGTATATACCTGTGTAAACGTTCACGTGCATAGATATACATCAAGCAAGCATGTGAGAGAATGATTTCTGTCTATCAACTGTGACTGCGTGTACAATATTTTAAAGTTATTCAATAGACGTGCATGCAATCGTATTTGTGTTTGTCTCATTGAATTTCGATTCTCGCTTTTCATTCTGTATGGTCAAAAAGTAAAGAGCGAGGATGTACAAAGTGCATTTATGCTTCAGGATTGTATAGTGTTTCGAAGATAATTCAAATGATAGATGCGAAATTTAGCAGATGTTGAGATAGTGTAAAGTAGTATGGGCAATTTATTCGGTAAGCGTCCCCGGCAGCTTTCATTACCGCCTATATCTCAACAGGATCAAGCTATTTTGGTAAGTCATCTTTCTGCCGTGAAAAATGTTTCACAAACTGGTTCAAAAAGTATGTATATGTATATATAATATTGCTTGGTTCTGCCAAATAGCCGAGTAATTGAGCTGTCAGCTATTCGATCGCATTACGAAGCAGGAAATGGAGGATAAACGAAAAAAAACCGCGACTTTAATTTAGATTATATATATATAATTTGCTTTCAAAATGAAAGCGAATTAAGATAGTTCCGCGAAGGACATGGGAAGCACTCGACCATTGTACAGAAACCAGCATAACTGAGTGCCGGGTGAGTACAGCGAGAGTGCCAGAACACAACCCAACACGAGAACCAAGAAAACATTTTAATTAACCTCCGACCTGCTGCAATTTGATATATATATATATATCAAATTCCGGTTTATTCGTCTATAAATAGAAGTTAAATGCTTCTCCTAGTCAACTTTTAAATGATTAACAATTCATTAGTTTTGTTAGCATTAAAGCTCATATTATCCATTTTTGCTATCTAAAAAAGCAGGAAACAGTATTTTTTTTACTGTTTACTTTTGCTCATGCTTCAAATGAACAATATTGGTTACTGAAATCTCTAATTGATGTGACTATATATCACACAATTTTCTCACTTTTTAGAGTGGAAAACTTTCATTACAGAAACTGAAAAATCAACGAGATAAAATGAAGCAGTATATGCGAAGGAATGAAAAACAAATGGAACGTGATAAGGAGCTAGCAAAAAGACTAATTAGAGCTAATAAAAAAGAGTAAATTTATTGTTTTCTTCTATTTTTTAGAAATTATCAGTGTTGGGAACGACTGCATATATCATATTTCTACAACAAAGATACTACATTCTTTGGTAACTCGCTATCATTTTAACTGTATTATTACTCATAAACTTGTAAAAATCATCTATTTAATTAAATGCGAGCTACTTCTCTTGTTGCTCCATCTCGTTTATGCACTATGATTTCCGTTCAGTGAATTCTGTCATGATCTTGAAAGGTCAGCTGTTTTGTTTTACAGTCGTGCTTTATTAGTTCTGAAAAAGAAGAAGTATCAAGAATCAGTGATTGTACAGACGTTGCATCAGTTGGACAAAGTTGAAAGAATGGTATTTCATGTTTTATTAGAAGAGTTGATCATTACATCTGTAGGTATGTAACTGAAATAACGTATGGAAAAAAATAAGTATGTAGATGGTTGCATTTAATGCTAGTATGTAGCTATACGTTGTAAAAGGGGAGTGCGATGATTTATAGGTGAATGATTTGGAATTTGCCATTATTGAGCAGAAAGTGGTGGAACAACTGCGAATTGGTAATGAAGCTTTAAAACAAATGAACCAGGTGCAGTTTAAAATTTCTGTAAACAGTATTAGTTGATATTTTTTAAAATATATTCTGTAATTTTAGAAAAAGTAAAACTTCTAGATCACTATTTGTTAAGCATATAATACAGTTTCGTGTTTTTGCTTTCATTCCATTTTATATTGGATGTAGATACATTGGTAATCGCTCAGAATTAGACGAAATTAAGGTTTTAGACTAGTAATATTTTTTGTTAAAACATGAAATCTTTTAAAACAAAATTTTGCTCACTTTATTTATAAATCTCTTTTATTTGCTTTGTTGATGCTTTCAATTGATGACATTGAACGAATCATGGATGAAACAAAAGAAGCTACTGAATTTCAAGAAGTAAGTCACTTTTTTATCTTGTATATTGTGTTATTGAAATGTTTTAAAAATAATAGAAATTGCATTTATTACAGGAAATATCTGAAAAGGAAAAATTTGTGTTTCAGGAAATATCAAATATGCTTTCTGGCAAACTTGACAGAAATAATTTGGAAGAAGTTGAAAATGAACTTTCGAAATTGATAGAGGAAAATGTACTTGATTTGCCGGAAGTTCCATCAGAACCTGTATTGTCGGAGACATTTGATGGATTGAGTAAATTTAAAGCTTTAATACTTAAAATTTTTCAAGAGCTAAATAAGAGACAGCTTTCATACTCTTAAAATGTTCAAAAACGAGTTAATTTCATTAATCAGCTTGAAGTTAGAGAAAAATAAGACTTAAATAAGAAAATTTTTTTTTCAAGTTAGTGTCATTCAGTATCTTAAATAAGAAAGCACTTTTTCAAGTTTTTAGTGAATTTTCATTAGAATTGTTAATCTTCAATTGAAATTTATGATAAAAACAAAGATCAAGTATTTCTCGATGCATTCATTAGTAATTATTATTTTGGAAGTACAGTTCGGTTTTATCTTTCTTCAATTTCATGCTGCTTAGTGAAATAATTCTTTTTGCAACATTTTAAGAGCATTAAAGTTGTCTCTTATTCAACTGTTTGCATTTGGTTACAGTGAGAAACATATTTAATTAAAGCCGAGAAATTTTTTTTTTGTATATTATTGTCTCTCCATAATACTTTTCTTTTGATTTCGTTTGTTTACAGAACGAAAAAAGGAGAGAGTAACTCTGGAAGCAACGTAATGGACAATGGGTACATTGTAAAAGTCTATAAATTATCGGTTGCACTTGCACACGTAATTTACGATTTCGAAAATGTAGTGTAGTTAAAATTATGAGGTGTTACGAATTGAAAAACAAGTCATCCGTAAAAATGGTTAAAAATGACCTACATTCATGCTCACAGTTATGTGTGAATTACATTTGTACAAATTGTCGATGAAGCAGGGTAATTAGCATATAACTGTAGTAAATTAGTGTGTTCTGCTTCTCCTGGTTTTTTTAAAGGGAAGTTTGGAAGGATACAAAAGTTCAAAATTCTTGATAAGTTAGACTTCTGCAGATTCCTAAATTTTATCGACTTCCTCAGCTTAATCTTGTTTTTATTCTAAAAATAAAAGTTCTCGTCCATGTCCTGATTGCTATAGTAATTTTGTAATGCAACTATAATGAGGCAATCGTATTTTTAAGTACACTATGAAGTTTATTGGGTGTTCCCGATTTTGAATAATACAATTGCGATTTACTGGAAAGACTCCGTTCACAATTTTTATCTGATTGAATAACTCTAGACAAGTGGAGAAAAACGTGTATGCCTCGGAAATGGTTAAGAGGTTGTGAAAATTCATCATGGGCGTATATGAGTGGTGCATGAGGTATCATCATTGGCATTAAACAACAGCAGGCAATGACCGAACTTCAAGGGTCCTTTCTGCAAGGTTGGTAGGGTGCACTGCGCTATAATTATGTATTTAGGATCGCCCTACATTTACCAATACATTTGCTTTGCTATCGTTATGTAGAATTGCACATGTAGCTCAGTTATTCTACTTTTCCTTCGAAGTATGATAGTCATAAGAAATTGTAGCTAATGATTCTTTACATCTGGAAATTGTTAAGGAGAGTTGATGGCTACACTGGTATACTATCCTGCAGTTTTTGATTCAGAACTGGCAATGTCTTAAGCGAATCACAGTAGAAAGAAACAAGAGCATTCTCAAAGGCATGTAGTGGATTCCTACGTGCATGGACTGAGACTTTTCCAATTACGAACTTTTCTGTTCTAGAAATTTTCGGTTGATTCATATAGAAGAGGATTTCCCTTTGTCGCTAACACCTGAACTACAATAACGAAAAATAATGTCAGACTGAAAAATACTTTAGTTGGATTGATGCATTTTATTTCTGGATTTGAGAAAGTGGTGGATTACATTGCATATTAGAGTCTACATTCAATAATGTACGTATGTTCATGAATTTAGACGTACTTTCTTTTTCTAGTTGGACTTGTGAAGCACTTTAATCAAAAATAATTCTGATGGCGCTGTTACAGAATACTTTATATCTAATATTAGGGCTGGTGATGATAAATATTACAATCCTAATAAAGAGAGTATTGATAGGTGACTTGAGAGACACTAATAACTATGGTGGAGAGTTCATGCACTTTAACTCACAGAGAAAGCAATTCAGTTTTTCGCAAAAGTCTAATATGGGATAAACCATGATCTGGGCCGAAAACAGCAGTGCATACATTCATCTACAATTTTTATTGAATGAACCAATGAAAGCAAGACAGAAGTTTAGAGGCACAACATGTCGAAAAAATACTTCAAAATCTGTATGCCTATAATAAAGTAACAAATTCGAAAACAAAACAAATACATGGGAGGATGGACTTTTAGTTATTGCAATTTCTACTTCATGTTTCTTATGACGACAGTAATTAATCTACTATCGTCACATATATTTTAGCACACAGCATTGAAAGTGAAGGAAGGATCAATAGTTAATAAGTACAGCCCAGACTATGGAGCACGTTGCTATATTGAGTATCGCTGAGTTTTTGCAGATAATGGAACCAATTAATTTTTTGGATGCGTTGAACGTGCTTCTATGGAAGATAATGCAGCAGTAGAAGATACTGAACTACTTTCTGAAGGACCAACACAAAATTCGACACGCTCCTATAAATTAGTTTTATTACAACAACAGAACGTAAAATTGTCCCCAGGGCCTTTCACGACTTCATTATATAACATCTGTTGATATACTCACATCAAATAAAATCGCTATCGAAGAAATATTTTGAACTAACTAGTAAAAATTTTAGATTGGAGTTTCACACTTCTTTATTGTAGCAATCATAATTTTAATTTCATTTTAGTGAAAGTCAACCTACCTTACTAGAATTCTGAATATCTTTGTCATTCACAGCATCATTTCTTGATTCATCTCTGTCACTGAGACCGTTCGCTACTTCTCCAACATCACTTTCATTAACTGGACCACATTCTCCTACATCAGTATCCATAATTTGCTGCAAACAATACTTTATAATTTGAGAGTGATTAAATAAGCAAATAAACCATTTACTATTTAATATGTGCATTGTTAAGGGAACAAGACATTATATAATAAATGAATCAACTATATATGTATGTATGTACTCATTACCAAACAAGCAATAATTTTTTGTCCAATAATGAATCAAATTATTTGGAGAAAATTAATTGGTGGGAAGAAAAATATTTGCTAAATTTCTTTTTTATTTATAAAAAGAAAAAACTAACGAACTAAAAAGCTATGCACCTCTTCATATTCTTTGAAAATATCATTCTGATGACGTAAAAAGCTTTCCTTTGCTCTTCGTACAGTCGTTGTCGGCGTAACACTCCGTTCATACGGTTGCTCTGTGTTATCATCAGCTAGATCGGTATCATTCTCGACAAGATGATCACTCTGCATTTTTGATGCATTGGCATCACAAAAGTGACTTTAGAAAAATGTAGAGCTCCAATGACAAAGGAAAATTCAAGCTTTCTAACTCAAATAATTGATGCAACAAAAACTAATGATGGTTACAAAAATGTAAATCTACTACTTTTTTACTGTTGTTAGTCCTTTCAGTTTTTACTCTACATAAATGCTTGATAAATCCATAATCAAAAATTTCAAGTCTTATAGAATGATTTATTTATGCAATTAAAAAATACTTCTCACAAAATCCATAAAGAAATCCTTCACATTCAGAAATCCACAGAACTTGATGTTTTCTGTCACATTAACAGCATTCTAATACTACAGAAATTAAGTTCATAAAATCGATTTAATGAAACCTGATCAGGTTGCGATGTTTCATCCAAATCAATAGCATCAGTTATTGATGTATATTCTTCATGTCTTCTCGCGCGTCTTACACTATCCGTCAAACTTAAAACAAATTCATCACTGTCACTGAAGTGAATATATATATATATATA